ATTGATAAAATTTATTTCTCCCATTGAATTTCTTTCTTTTTTTTTTTTTTCTTTTCTTTTTCTTCTCTTCCTTTCTTTGTCCCCTTTCTTTCCCATTCTAATTTATTTCTCATTCCATTACTACTGTCCGTTTCAATAAATTTTTTCATTACTATCAAATTGTTCAATGTTTTTCATTCGAACCTTCGCATTGCACTTTTTCCTTTCCTCTTGACAATATCTCCTACGTCCAACGTCGTTAAGTTCTTTCTTTATATTTTTCTACTTTGATCTTGAAGTATCATGGTCTAATAATCTCGGGTTCGTGTCCAAGCACGATCCCTTTTATCTACGGCAGATCATCTCCTTTAATTCAAGTAATCCTACCTCCAATTTACGAAAGAGAGTAACTCGTGCTACTGAAACTCTATGATCTGATTAAACCGCTCGATTGTGCTTTTTCTTTTTGTTTTTCTTTTCTCTCTCTCTCTCTCTCTCTCTCTCTCTCTTCTTTGTTTTCTTTTTTTTTCTGGTTATTTTTTTATTTTTTTCTTTTTTTTTACAACGCCGTCCCAATTTTCCCTTTTACCATTGTTTCTATTTATTCGTTCGCTATTTATTTATTTATTTATTTATTTATTTATTTATTTGTTCGTTCTTTTTAATTCTTTTTCAATTTTTCTTTTTGAACGATTCGAAGGGTGAGTTAGTATACGTCATCAAATCGACAGATCGTTGGCGTAACACGTTAAAAACATCGATGTACTCCATTAATTACTCCAATTAATTAAATTATTGTCGATGAAATCAAAATAAACCGTAACGTTCGCTCGAATTTTCGAATTTCCCCATGTCCTATAATATTGTTGAATGTGTGTGTCTGTGTCTATGTGTGTGTGTGTGTGTGTGTATGTGTATTTGAAAATAAAATACAAATACAAAAAGAAAAAAAAAACAAGAAAAGAACATAAAAATAGAAATAAAATTTACTTTAGATAACGAGAGAGACAAAGAGAGAGCGAGAGAGAGAGAGAGAGAGAGAGAGAGAGAGAGAGAGGAAGGTTTACGAATTTGTATTTTAAACATTTGCAACAATCGACTCGCAGGTGGTTAAATATATATTCGATTGTCGCGATCTCTCGTATATAAATGAAAGGAAACAAAACAAAACAAAACAAAAAAAAAAAAAAAAAAGAAAAGAAAAAAAAGAGGAGAAAAGAGAGAAAGAAAATGATAAATAATAAAATAAAGTGAAGAAGGAAAAAAAACATATGACATGGTGAAACATTTTGAGCTTTTTTTTTTCTTCCTTATTTGTTTGTTTCTTTTTTCTTTCTTTCTTTCTTTCTTTCTTTTTTTTTTTTTCTTTTTTTTTCACACTTGTCCATATCGTCGTTCAAAACACACATCATAGATAATAATTATTTATTATCTATGTTTCTCGTATAACAAATAAAGATTAATTTATTTATTGAATACCTGTTCGATGGAACTAACCGCAGCTCGATTAACCGAATTCTATGGCTTTTATTAACGAACTCTCTCTATTCGAATTTCAATAGGTGAATTTCAATGAACGATTTGAAATTACTTGTCCATGTAATTCGAGTGTAATTCGCTATGTGAAAATTTGACATAGAGTTCGTTAGATCATTATCGATGCCATCGGGAAAATGAATGAATCAATGTCGAGATCTCATTGACATTTGTCGTTTGAAATTTATTAATTGATGATTCTCTCATTCTGTCATTCTCTCTTTCTCTTTCTCTTTCTCTTTCTCTCTCTCTCTCTCTCTCTCTCTCGTTGATAAGGTTTCATTCGGTTTCCTTTTACGTACTTCTCTATGTTTGCTTTTTTATCAGTCTCTTATTCGATATGATGCTCCATTTGATTTCGTACTAATTCATTTTCATTGTTGTTTCATTTTATCGTCGTACTTTACATACATATTGTAGAAATAACAGAACGTAACAACATACCGTTCTACCAATAATTTTCAGGAACGTATGCAAGCATTTATTTACATCACGATTCGCTCGGTACGCACATACATACGCCCGTGCGGTTTTATTTCAGCAACAAAAAAAGAAAAAAAAAAAAAAAATATTCATTAACGGCCGACGTAATTGTATTCGGTCCGACCGGAACCGAGTTACTCTCTTGTTTCATAAACTTTTTGATTGTTTTTTCTTTTTTTTTCTTTTTTCACTTTTTCTTTTTTACTTTTATCTTTCTTTCTTTTTTCTTTTTTCTTTTTTTCTTCTTTTCTTTTTATTTTTTTTTTTCCTTTAATCTTCTTCTTTTTTCTTCTCGGTTTTAAAAAAACAAATTGTCCTTACGTAAAGTGTTTTTAATCCGTCATATGAAAACTTCAATCGAAATAATACAAATAATCTGTAAATATCTATAATTATTAGATATATGTAACAAAAATGGAAAAGTTGTATCTATTTTCTAATATTCTTTTCTATTGCGAACAGCTATAAAGCTTTATAAAGGGTGAATTATTGATAGAGAATAAGTTTGAGGTGAAAATGTACGAGACAAAATTTGGACAAAAGATTTATATCGTCCATGTATACATAAATATTAATTAATTATTAATATGATATAAAAGAGTATCATTTTGTTTTCTTTTTTTTTTTTTTGTTTTCTTCTTCTTCCTTTTTTTAATCCTTTCATTCCCTTTTCCTTATTCTTTTCTCCTTATGAAAGTTACTTTAAACGTTATTGAAACGTATTTGATAGATTTGTTCGAGGAAACCATTAGACCGAACGTAAAGCTTCAAAAGCAAAAGACGAAGACGTTATTTAGACATAATAGCCCATCGTGACGCATATAATCCCAAAGGATTTATGTTTCCCGCCATTAAATGGAGGTTCCTGCGCTTTCAACTCTGATAGATAGATTTCTGCATAATTTCTATCTCCCTAAGGGACTTCTCTCCTTTCACTTTGAGGGATTATTAACTTGTACGAAATATGCCAATTTGAGGTACGTTAATTGTTCTCAATGTCGACTTTTTTTTATCCTTTTTTATCCTAATCGAATGGATACACGTCGATCGTGATAATAATTGTTATAAAAAGAAAAGAAAAGAAAAGAAAAAAAAAAAAAAGAAAGAAACAAATAAAACGAACAAAAAGAAAAAGAAAAAGAAAAAGAAAGAAAACGAATAAACAATCGGACGATCATTTATTTGTTCTCCTATCCTTTCAATATTTTTTTCTCGTTTTTTTTCTTCTTCTTTTTTTTGTGCTCTATTTTCTTTTCTCTTTGTTTTTCACCTGCTCCTCCCTCGCCAACCCCCCCCCCCCCCCACCACCCTTCTTTATTTCTCTTTTCCTTATATTCTTTCATTTTAAATATCACTAGCATAGATAGGACCAATATATAGTAGTTTTAATCGTTCGAAAAATACTACCGTCTATATCGAGCAAAACTTTTCCATGCTCATCCGACATTCCAACCCAGTCTCTTTTCTGTTTCCCGTTGGATATCGAAGCTTTCGTTTTGCAATGCGACGTTAAAAGCTACCAACGAAAAATCCCTTCTCCCTTTTCCTCTTTGTTCCTAGCACGTTATTGCCTTCTCTCTCTTTCTTTTCTCTCTCTCTCTCTCTCTCTCTCTCTCTTTTTTCGTATCTTTTCAACTATTTTCTTTGTTTTATATTTTATATTTCCTCATTATAATAATATCCTTCCTTAACTTCTACTTTAATTTTATATTATTTACTAGTCCTTTTATTTAATATCCATCATAATAATCATTATTTTGTACTTTAAATTTATCAATTTGAAATATTAAAAAAGCGTCTCTCTCTCTCTCTCTCTCTCTCTCTCTCTCTTTTTCTCTCTCTCGAGAAATTTATCAATTTGGAATATTAAAAAAGTGAGAGAGAAAAAAAATAGAAGAAAAAAGGAAAAAAGAAGAAAAAATGAAAGGAAAGAAGAAATTTCAAACGAAGCATCAAGTTCGATGATAAAGATAAAAGCAAAAGAAAGAAAGAATTTTTTGAATAACCGAGCTTTTGCGTTCTTGTCAATTCTATTTGAAGAGTATAATGAAGGCACTTTCGTACATTTCTGACATTTCACAATTTTGTCACGGCCCGAAGCGACGTCACGTATGTATATACGAAGTAAGTACTTACGTTTGAACGGCCAAGAGAGTACGTGCCGGAAACCGATCTATCAGAATTATCGATCATAGGAAAGAGTAAAAGAAATTGGAACGATTATCGTCCTCGAGCAACTCTTGAATGGGATGCGGAAAGATACGAGGCTTTTCGTATCGCCACCGATTTCAATCGGCTCTTTTTAACGATTAATCGTTCTCTTCCTATTCGCATGTATCTGTTCCTGTAACAGTATCCGCTTCACTCTCTGAAATGTATAGCTATATATACTTCCCGAGAACGATGCACTCTCTCTCTCTCTCTCTCTCTCTCTCTCTCTATCCCTCCCTCCCTCTACACGAGAACGTTCAATTTCCTCCTACGTTCGAAATCGATTCTCATGTAATTGATCAGGTATAGATGGATTTAATCGACTGTAAGCGTACCAAGTAAATGGTTTATTTTACCTGGTTTATTTTACCTCAAATTGCTAGAGATTTTCTTATGTGTAGAAATGACCGGGCATTTAAAAGAAATTTCTCTTGATGACTACTCTTTGTCGTCTTTCTTTCTATTCTCCTTCTTCTTCTTCTTCTTCTTCTTCTTTTTGTTTGTTTCTTTTTTATTCTTTTTATTTTTTTCTTTTTTTTTTCTCTTTATCTTCGCCTCATAAAGAATATCAATCGACGATTAATTTTTGTCCATATTTTCATTTCCAAATGATAAATCAATTCTTTATAAATACTAGCGAAATAATGGGGATTGTTTTTGAAAAGTGGATACTATACTACCTTACGTGATATAGCGTTTCTCAACTTCAAACAAAAACGGAATAGCTTTAATTCGGAGTTACTCGGAATTTCATTAAAAAATTTCGGCTTAACAATGCCGAGAAGCGAGAACGCAGGAGCACCAGTTTCTATCCGAGTCAGAGAACCGACCTGGTTAAAATTTAATGAAGGCGCCGTCAACATTCTCCCGAGTGATTATCTTTGTCGTTGAATAAAGCGAGCTCCTTTATATTCCAATCTCTCACAGTCGTTTCTCGCGAACCCTTCTGTTAGTAGACAAAAGATCGGTTTTGAAGTAACGAACGATGGATATGGATTGAATTACGAGAGATAATATACCATGGATTTTCTGCGGCTTAATAAATGCAACTCTCGTCTCTATGAATCCATATAAACGCCTTATCCTCGTAATGTTAAAATTTGGTTTATCATTTCATTCGGTTGATTCTCACTATCACTAGGAAGAAAGAAAGAAAGAAAGAAAGAAAGAAAAAAAGATTAAAAAAAAAAAAACCAAATCTTATTCGACGTCGATATTGCAGGAGCAAAATTGTCTGGAGAAAATAAAAATGTCAATTCTTCTCGAACGTTTTAACCCTAAAATTTTTACGACGACTTCTCTTACGTCAGATTTATCTTTATGTATCTTTGAGATCAATATGATACCTAGCAGAGATATAAAAGAGATTTTCGATATCGAGAAAATATTTTCTATCGTTGTTTGCTTAGAGAATCAACTGTTTAGAATGCTCGACGTCTCGATGTCGTCTAGTTTCACCGTAAACATCGTGTTCGTATATTCGTGAAAATCTATAAACTTATGTTAACATATATCTATGTATTATACATATATATATATATATATATTATATATATATATATATATATGTGTTTCGTCTCTTTAATAGTAACATGTCGGAGGTACCTTTTCGAGGGTTTGCAGACTTTATTATCCTCCGAGTACAGCCGGAAACTCATTAGCAAAAGCTCTCTCACCCTTTGCCTCTCAACTACGTCTCGTCTAAGCTCCTTGCACACCTCCTCTTCGTTCCTCTCGTTCGACTGAAACCAGGACGAACGTACGAACGCAACCCTACTTCGTTTCACCACCGCGCCTCCCTCGGGCGTCCGTACCAGACGTTTTCCCATGACGAGGGTAACTAATTGTAATTTCGCGATTATGATTATCCACGCGAATTGCCGCGACGGTGCTGTAATAATTAAAGGAATATCGACGTTGGGATGAAGAGAGGAATGACTTTTTCTATTTTCTTTCGATAAATTTCATGAATACTTTACGTTCCCGTTCGATTATTAATTATTTCAATCTAAGAAAAATATCGATAATCAAATTATTATTTAAACGTGATCTTTTCATTCGTTCTTTTTTCCATTCTCTTTTATTTATTTATTTTTCTTTTTTTTTTTTTTTCTTTTTACCTCTTTTCCTTTTTTCGAAGTATCTCTCGTGAAAAGAAGAAAAAGAAAAATAAATAAATTGATGATATCGTAGTCCAAGTGTATACTTACTTACTTACTTACTTACTTACGTTCCCATCGTCATCAACCTTTTATCGCGATAACTATAACGCAAACGTGCCTGTTGTAAGAACGATATCGAATTCCTGAAACGACCATCGACTACAAACTCGCGAAATATAATTCCAGACGGCACGTTTTCCTATTAAAGTCTACCGAGACACGGCCGGACATTCTTTCCTCGTAATCGTTCTCGTATAATGACGAAATTCGTCATATATATATAATACAATCCATCCGACGATTTTTTTTTCTACACGAGAAATGAATTTCTTTCTCTCTTCTTCTTTTTTCTTTTTTGTTTTTTTTTTTTATTTCCTTTTTTTTTCCTCTTCCCTTTCTCCCGCCAAAACCCACATAATTCACGAAAAAGAGATTGATAATTATTGAATTGAAATGATCATTACGACATAAACGTAATAACGGCGTAATGCATTTTTTATTTAAGAAGAAAAAGTAAGAGATGAAAGTTTAAACGTATAAATTTATCGACGGGATAATATAATATCCCCCGAAGGAACTGAATTCCTTGATTTAACAGACAATAATATCTCAATGGTCCCAGGACGATCGTTAAATCGTTCGCTTCTATTGCAATAACGATTTTTTTTTTCTTCATCTTCTTCTTCTTCTTCCTTTTCTTTCCTCTTTTCTTTTCCCCATTGTGTTACTCGGCGTCGTGTATGTTTTATGAACGATCGACAAAATTTTACGGGAAAGATCTGTCTATATAATATTTCCTCCCTTCCAACGTGGCGAGAATGAAAATGATGATGATGATGATGATGAGAAAAAGAAAAAGAAAAAAAAAAGAAAGAAAGAAAGAAAGAAAAGTAATAAAAGGATAAAGAAAAAGAAAAATAAAGAAAAGAAAAAAAAACAGAACGATGACATATGTGATAAGTATGGTTATAACCATAGATATCGAAAGTTTGTGATCACTAACGTTATTTTATATTTTTCGATTTTCCAAAAGAACGAGCAACATTAAGCCTCTGTCGAACTCATATATAGTATATTATATATATATATATACATATATATATAAATTGTAATAGTAGATAGGTAGGTACCATATGACATAACGAGGACGAAGTGCTTTTCAATGGAAATAACGTCGAAGCTGGTATTGCAATGGGGGCTATGGTAACGCCGGAAATTCAAGGCACTCCCACCATGAAAAAAGAAGCTGTCGGAATGGCACAGCATTAAATTATCGTATATTGTCTGCTATTCGATTTCGTACGCATATACATACATAGCATATGTGCATACATATGTATATATGTATGTATGTATGTGTATGTGTGTGTATGTGTGTGTAAGCGCTTGTACATACAGACATACGTTGTACGTACATACGTATATATAAAATGCATTATCGATGCGACTTTCGAGCTTTACGTTGGCAAGTTCCGTCTACTTTTTCTTCTTTTTGCTTTTTTTGTTCTTTTTTTTTCTTTTTTCACTACTACTACTACTTCTTCTTCTTCTTCTTCTTCTTCTTCCTTTTCTTTTTGTTCTTTTCTTATTTCTCTTTTCCTTCTTCTATCCTTTTTCCATTCGAATTCCAAGACTACCCGTCGAAGAACATTCCAACGGCGAGTATTTTCTCCTGTCTTTTCAAGTTATATCACCCTTTTCATTATTTTATTCGCTTTTTTCTCTTCTTTCCTTTCATTCTTACCTTTCTTTATTCCACCTAAGTTCGCCAACGTAAAGGCACAACAACGTGACAACCGTATAATAATTGTTTTAGATAAATAACGTAATATAATGAATTAAAATTGACATTTATTTTACCCAGCCCTTATCTCTCAAAATAGTAACTTTTGGTATTCCTTTATTAATGACGTGAATGTGTTACTTTTCTCTTTCTCTCTTTTCTCTCTTTTCTCTCTTTTCTCTCTTTTTCTTTTCTTTCTTTTTTTCCGCAAGTAAGGATACGTTTGAAGCTTCCTGAACGATAAATATTATACAAGATACATAATATATTTTATAGATACATATGTATATTTTACTCATATATCCGTGACATTATTCGCCGGAATGAATCATTCCCAAAAGCCAACCCCATAGATTTTTCATTATTCACAAAGTAAAAAACGAGCGTAAAGAATTTTGAAGAATGCCAAATACATCATTATTCATAATTTAGACGAATTTTTTTTTGTTTTCTCTTCTCTCTCTCTCTCTCTCTCTCTCTTTCTCTCTCTCTTGCTTATTTATCACCTTTATTTTTATAATATTTTATAACGAATTACGAATTAAAATGTTCGCGCGCTCGAACCTTAGCCCCGAGCGAAAGGATCGTTTTCTATTTTTTCGAGAATCTCTCACCCTCCAACCTTTACCTACTTCTCTATTACTCCAACTCCTTCCACATTTTATGTTAACTGCGAAGAAAAGGGCGCGAACTAACCGTAAAGCCTCTTTCACGGAGGCCTTAACTCGGCCGACGAGTTTAGAACTTTTCTCCTGGAATGTTATTAATTATTCAGTATTCTGCTTACGCCGTTCCGTACCAACGAAAAAGCATATATATATATATATATATATATATATATATATACATACGTACATACATGCATATATATCTATAGTATATCCGATGATGGTTAAGATGGATGGTTATTCAAAGTTCGAATTTATTCTTATTAGGAATTTTTTAATTACTCGTTCCTTTTAATTATACAAAACTTGATGGATACAAATAATTCTTTTCTCTTTCAAATATGAAATTAATTATTTATTTTCAAACGGAGTTTGATCACCATTAGAAACAACTTCACAAGTATTTACATTTCCATATTATTCAAGTATTTCTTCCAAATTTGTTTATGTTGTTTCTTTTTTTTTTTTTTTTTTTTTAACACGGATATATATGTATAATACGAGATAAACACGTACGATAAGCATTAAGGATAGAAGACAGTAATGCGGAATAACAGAACAGAAAGAGATAGAAGAGAGGATTGAAACGTTCATTGCCATGTTCTTATCCTTTAATTTCGAGGGCATTATAGTTCTTTCTTCACTCTTTTTTTCTTCCTTCCTTCTTCTGTTCTTTTCTTTCTTTCTTCTATTTTTTTTTCTTTTTCTTTCTCTTTTTCTTTTTTTTTTTTTCTTTTTTTTTTTTTTGAAGAATAAGTGAAAAAACTTTAAGGACGATAGACAAGAATTCGTGCTTTTTATCCGTTTTATCTTCGACCTCCGATTGTTTCAGCTTTATATCGACTTTCGGATTACTTTTAACGGTAACAAACGGTAGAGTTAGGTAACGGGCCATTTCGTGATACCTCTAATCTCGAGAGTGCTTTCTAAGTTGACCTAAAGATAAGGAAATATTCTTTGTAACGTTGCGAAAAAAAAGTTTTCGAACGTTTTGCATAGATAGAATATGGAAGAAAAAGAAAAAAGAAAGAAAGAAAGAAAAAAAAATCAAACGGAGAGAGAGAGAGAGAGAGAGAGAGAGAGAGAGAGAGAGAGAGGAAGAGAAATTTCATTACGTTGTTTAAAAAAAAAAAAAAAAAAAAAAGTCGAACAACTTTACTACGCACAAAGTGTTCTATAGTTGTATAATAAAAAAAAAAATCTATAGATTTTATCTATCGAAAGATTAAAGATACTTGAAGTAGAGATCATTTTTCTAAAGAAATATTTATTGTATGTGCGTGTGCGTGTGCGTGTATATATATATATATATATAGAAGTGTATGTAAATGTACATGTAAAGCTTCTCAACAAAAGCTTTCTTCTGAAATAGTATCGATATCGTTACTTTTTCTTGACAGTCGGATATTTTCGTAATGTCAAAAGGGCTTGGGCGGAATCAGGACGTTTTCGAGTGTTCGATTGATCTATATATATATATATATATATATATATATATACATGCACATATATATATATATACACATGTGTATATACATTTCTCTTTTTCTATCTCGTTCTATCCAATAATAAAAAAAAAAAAAAAAAGTTATAACAAAAGGTTCGTTCCTTTTGATAAATACGATACAAATTTCGTTCGATCTTTAAAAACGAATATCGATATTATTTCATTATAACAAATTTCGTTTGATATTTAATACGGATAAATCGATATTATTTTATTATTATTCCATGAAACGTCCTCTTTAAATATCGTTGCTCAACCAATGTTTAATTGGGAACTTTCGAATCCAACGTAACGAAGCGTACAATTGTAACGACAAAAGTTATTGTCGATTGAAGTGGTAAACTCCTATCTATAGTGTATATATATATATATATATATATATATATATATATATATGTATATACTACATTCTATTCGTAGCAAGTCGCATTGAAGTATAAAGCGATGGATAATTCGCGTAAGTTTCAAAGGGCGTATATAAACGTAATTATAGATACATAGGGGTATGTGATTGTGACGAATAGATTAATGAATCTTTTAAACAAAGATATTATCTTTCGCAAGATAGTCTTGTGTTCATTTTTATGTATACATACATACGTATATGTACGTATGTATATATGTATTTTTTTTTTTTTTTTATTCAAGTGTCGAGTACGACTGTAAGCAAAAAAGATGTTTCTGTGAAGTTTGCTGTGTATCTAACAATTTGTTTATGACGAAAAAAGAGAATCAGAGATAAAGAGATAGAAAGAATGAGAG